TTAAAGACGGCAATGCGCATATCACGCCACCGGGCTCTCGCGTGATTGCCGCCAACCCAGCACCCAACGACGCATCCGCTGCAAGCGAGAGTTTCCACAAACGTCGCATTGTGGTCAACCATCCCTTCCAGACGGTGCGCGAGGTAGTCGAACATGAACCCATTACAAATTATCATCAAATACAAGTACATGAACACGCGTCACCAGCTTCGGCGTACCACAAGGCACCGTACTTTGCGTCCAATGGTGCCTTGCGTCAAATCGCTGTGCCAGTTATGTATCATCAGGCGTCTGGCGCAACACACGGAAATCTAGTTTACGCCTTGCCTGATGCAATTCCTGTGCATGAAGACAACGGCGAAGCGGAGCCGTCCTATCAGCAAACGCGTCAGCGTGTGCGCGCTTAAGTGCGTCGAAAAGTCTCAGTTCGATTGAAGTGGCCAATTGTTGTTGTTATTGTAGCGTTTGTTGTTGCCATTAATTAAGGATATATCACTTACAAATAAGCTATTCAACTTATTCGAGTCGATCGAATATTAATTTTTTTTTTAATATTTTAGACATAAGACACTAATTTGTAACCGATTCAACTAAGGTTGATGGGATAACCTAAACTAATGATTGCCAGACAACGTGGATGCGTTGCCCTTATTTAAGTACACAAACTTCATATATAAGTTGACGAATAAAGGCATAAAATGCTAGATCAAACGAATATTGCGAAATGTATTTGAGTTTAAAGAGAGCTGCTACTCTTACTTTGGGACGTATGGTCTTAAATAGTTAGTTGGTCCATTTTGATTCCACAACTCCTGCAACCTACAGCAATTTGGCGGCTATTAGCGTCATCCTTGCGAGGGCTGGTAAAATGCACAGAAAGTGTTCGACTGTCTACTTTCAGCCCGGATCCATGCAGCTGCGACAGAACTTCTTGGTGGTAAAGGTAAGCCAATCCTTTCGCCGCGTACCCAAATATGCCCGTGCCCGGTGCAGACTGCTGTAAGTTACACACTGCTATACGATTGCACCTCTGTTTAGCCTTCGAGTGATAAATTTCGGCCTTTCTGTCCTTGATCTCCCTGAGCAAGGCAGCCATGTCCACCGCATGGGCCACATTCAGTGCAGAGCCTAAGCGAGGTAGGGCTGTCTGCTATCTCGTTTTCGTGATTTCCCCATCTCACGGGACCCATATTAGGGTAAATTCGTATTAATTAAAAATTGAAGCCAGCTGTCTACTAAAGTCAACCACTAGTTGAGATCTAACACAGGTGGAAGAGAGTACCTGAATAGCCGCTTAGCTAACTGAGAAGATATTCATCTGGGATTTACCCTACTGCCTCCTTAATTGCAAACGTTTCAGCCTGGAAAACAATTAATTGCTCTGGTAGCCGGAGGGATAGCTTTAGTTTCAATTGCTCAATGAAGACCTCTGCAACAACCTCGCATACCAACTTTGATCCGCACGTGAAGTTCGTTAAGCCCTCCAAGAACTGGATCCAACTTGAGTACTTGGGAATTTCGTGTGGGGTTTTTGGTGGAACCAGGTCGTCGGCAGGATATAGTCAGTTGGTAGCGCTTTAATTTCAGGCGGTAATGCATTTAGAATTGAACTATGCTGACAGTCTTAGTAGTATAGCAACATCTTTGCCAGGAAATTCGGACTACATATAACTCCCGGAGCTTCGAAAAGTTTCCAGAAGCTAGACGAGAAATCGTTGGATGGCGTAGAGGTGCTAATTTGACAAACAGCATATTCTACATGCTAACCTAGAGGAAGTTCCAATGACATTGAGTTCGACCCATTAGCAATAGCCTATGGTAATATTAAAAAAAGTAATATTAAAAAATATTAAAAAAAAACTTACACCGCAATAATTGGCGCAGGCGTCGGGATCGCTCTTCTTGTAGATTGAACCAAGTACTCAGAGATCCCAATCTTCGGGCATGCATCCATAATGTGAAGTGAATCACCTCCTCGTCGACTTTGAAGTCACTAACAGAACTTACTTCTAGTATGTGTAAATTTTTGAACCTCTGCTATACAAATTGAGCTATGCAGAAGAATATTGATCACCATCCAAATTGGGATGGACGTCTCCGACTCATTCAAATTCAAAGGAGCTTTTAACAAAGCGACTCTGAAAAGGTTATGCTTACTCGTAATTTGAGGTCGTTGATTCTAATACCGTTTTATTTTTAGCACAACAGTTATTTATTGTATTTGCGATGCGGAAAAATGAGGAGATTGAGCCCTATAATGTGATCTGAGCAGGCTTGAAGGATCCTAACCTTGAATTCCAAAGCACGAAGTGACTTGTCGAATAAAACACACTACTTATAAACACTTTTTATTTACAATATTAACTTAATCTTAAACAAAAAAAAAAAATAAATACGTTTTAACAACTTAAATGTATTTTAAGTTGATTGGCAAGACGGACACAACAACAAAATCAACTTGCTCTAAGCACGACTCTTTTTAGAACCACGAAAAGCTATCTATATTAATCTCATCTCGCTTTATCTTCTTCTCGCCCAACCTGCATTATGGAAAATTTTATAAATTTCATTGCGATCAATTTTCTCTGCTTCACGATTGAGCACCGGCATCTCCTTGGATGTCAGCAGTGACTCTTTGGCGAGAGCAGCTGCGATATGAGGATTGCTGTAGAAACGTCGACTTTTCGATAGTTCCGGTGGCAGTTGAGCTTCTCGCTCCGCATTGGCTATAACCGCCGGATGGGCATAGCTCTCCTGGCTTGGCTCTGAGATGGGTTTAAAATCGGGTGGTGGTGAGGTATATCGCGGATAATGAAGTGATTGATATGGCAAGGGCGCTGATTGGTGGAAATAAAATTGTGCGCTGCATGAAGACACAAGTAGGATTACACAAAGTAAAATTGAGCGCATGTTGCTGGAATAAAGTAAAATAAATTTTTTTATTATTTAAGAATTAATTTTAATTAAGAGTAACGGGTTTTTATGGGTTGTTAAATATTATTTTGTAATAACAGTTGATGACAAGGCGTATTGCCGGCAGCGGTTTTCTGGAAGAACAGCGTGATACGAAAAAAAATTTTAATGTTTTTTTTAGTTAAGTATGCAGAAACTGCCGCCAGCACTTCTTTTATATTCCGCTAAAAATGCATTCTCCTATCCACTTGACTTGGCAACTAACTATATAACTAGAAAACAATGACTTTTTGATCAAAGCAGGGATCCAAGTTAAGAGCTGATGTCAGCTTTATCTATTGGATTTAAGTCTACGACTATATTTGTTACATCTTTTTAATTATTATTTATTTTTGTTCAACTTAAAAGCAGTCTAAATTTTTAAAGTACTTTTTCTAACTATTTTTACAAGATTTTATTATGTTTCACCTGTGTGTAATCAAATATTGCAATCAATTTTTAACCAACTTCCCGATGAGCAAGAGACTTGAAACTTTAATCTTAGCTCAGAACCCTTTGACAATGCAATGCGAAAGATGGCGCGGGTGTCGAGATATCTGAAAAAAAGCCGTATTTATGGACCTATTCGGTCCATATCGTTATCTTAATTCACAAAGGCCCTAACCTACAAATTTTTATTTTACAGGAGAAGCAAAAAACATTGTAACATACATAAGAAAATAGCAAAAACTAAAGGCTTAATTTACGTAACCTAACCTATAATATATTGGCCAACGCAATATATTTTTGTTCAGAACTTTTTTATAGGCGGCAAAGTGACCATCAACTAAAAAAAGAAAACACAAAAACAAAATATTTTCGCTTCTGGCTAATTTGGCGTGTTAAATAATCATTGACGATTTCCTGCGTAAGTTAAGTTAAGTCTAGACTAACTAGACTATAAGTTGATGTACAACTATTTCTATCTTACGAGTATTTTCTTCCATAGCAATTTCTTAAAGTAATGTTGAGCCTTATTGCATTCATTTTAATTTACACATTGACCAGCTAAGACTCTCATCAGCTCCGAGAGTTGTGGTTTGTTTGACTCTAAGACTTCCTCCTTTCTACCTGTGGCCAGAAGAACCTAGTCACCTTGAATTCATCGGCTTTTTGCCCAGTGTGTGTTCGCTTATCGGCTTAGCTTAGATGAGCATCTGTAGCCGTCCAAAAATTGCTTTGCACGGCCAATCGGAATGCGAGTCGGGTGTCTGACATCGCTGTCCTTGGTACATATGTCCCAGGTGAAAAGCGAACTGCTCAGCCAGATGTTGAAAAGCGCTTGTCTTCCGTAAATTTTGAAAAAAAACTGGACTAATCAACTTTTCACTCTAAAGTAGCGAAATATACATTTTTAAACACTGAAGCCCCTAATGATTTTTCTCAAAAGAAATCTATACATATAATAAAATTGTAACAGGTCGATGTCTGTACAT